TAACAGCTGATTGACAGAAACTTGCACGAGGACGGACTCTCTACATAACCCTGTGTAATCATCGATATGGTGAAGTTTTCTTGAAGTAAGGAGGCGTTTATTTAACATTTGTGGAAGGAGTCTCCATTGTCAAAGCTTTGTAACGGTCAGAGGTAAAGCTGTAACTTTGTTTTCTGACATCTTCAGGACAGAGGAGTTTACGCTCCGTAACATGACATGCTGCATTTTTTTTTATCTTACTAACGTCAAGAGAGAGAAAAGAGAGGCTTGGTGAGCTGCTATAACATAAATGAGAACAGAAACTAACTGGTTTCTCCAACGTTCAACAACAATACATGTAACTATAAATGGATAAGTATGACCTGTCATTCTTTAATAAATAAAAAAGTGTAATTACTGGCAAATTGCTGTGACAGAAGAGTAATAAAACACTTCAGGTTTGTACCAGTAACTCATCACTCCAACCTGTCATTGATTATTTCACTACAACAGCACCACATTATTATTAAAAATGTAAGAGCATGTACATGTGTAGGTCAGGCTGTCCTGCTCTAACACACACCAGTGTCTGGTAATTAGCTGCTGTGTTTCACCAGGGTGTTAAAGCAGGGTGTCTCTGCACCATAAGGCTGCTCTCATCCAGGAATGTGTTAATACTCTGCTGTTTGGAAATGACGGTAAAGCTGTTTTTGATTCCTCTCTTTTCTCTCTCTCCCTCCTACTGATCCATTTATCTTTTTTCCTTTCCAAAAGTGCCGTCTTAAACATGTTCAGCATGTTTATTTTGCTTTCTGATGATGTACTTCAGCATATACAATACAAACACCGGCTGCATTATTGTCCTGCGCGCAGCAGGTAACAGTACAGGTTTGCACGTATAATAGTCCCATTTTACAAAATATTTACCTCTTGCAAAATGTGTCCCTTTTTTGTGGATGTGTTCTGTTTTCTGCGATGGGCTTGTGTTGTGCTGAACTATGTCATATTTCAGAACTACATATTGCATTTTTAAACTTACTAGCATTTTAATAACAATCAGCGTGTGTCTGGTGCCTGTATGACAGACAAATTTATAGGTTATGACTTAAAAATAGGCCTCCCTTGTTCAGTTGATTTCTTCAAAGTTGTAAAAGTCTTGGCTCTGGGTTAAGATGGCGTGTCCATGATGTTAGCTTCTGCCAATCAGCTTGAGCTAGAAGAGGCCTGTTGTTTCAAATGGGCCGCTGAGCAAATTGAAATGATGGCATTCAATGGCATGGGGATAATTTTCCACAATTAAGCAATTTGTGATGGAGAAAAAAAGCACTTTCTCTCCATCCTGCCTCTGCCTGTAAACACACGCTCAATATTCTGTGTCAGGAAAATAAAAGAAAAAAAAGCCCTACTGCTCCCAATCTCCAGGGGTTCCCTGCTCATTTCATAACTCTGATGTTTCGCTAGCTGAGCGGATGCCCTGTTTAGTGATGTAGCGATATACGGGGCATCTACACGTGCGTATCATCACAACTTCACAGGCACACCGCCTGCTCTGTATTCCTGTGCGAAAATGACTCCGCAGAAGCCCGCTGTAGTAAGGCATCGCAATGAGGACATTTAATCAAACCAAACGGATCCGAATTTGTGGCGCCGCTCGCTATCCCCCGGTCTCTCCTGAGCTTTTCTTGGCTTGCGCCTTGCATATCTCCTTTCCCCATAAGCATGCTCTCTCACAAAGCGGGATGCATTTGGATGAATTTATAGGCTTGTTTGTGCCTGTTCGCGGGGATGCTGCACAGGCCCTGCGGATGGCCCTAATCTCCGTGGGCTTTCTCTGATTTCCCACAAGCATTACCTTTCCAGGTCCCCCTCTCATTAGGCTTCTTTCTGTTGTTCCCTAATATATGAGACAAGCAGCTCTGAAATTTAACCCTTTCCCATCCTCGGTGTGGCGTATCTGCCCTCAAAACAAAGGCAGGAGCCATTTAATTTTATGCGTAGAGAGGTATTTGTAACCCAAGATATGTTTAATTATTGAGTCGTACCCTTAAGAAACAAACCCCCCTCCCTCTCCTTCTCCATTTATCTTTTTCTTTGCTCGAGCCTCCACCCTCCCTGTTCCCTATTAAAAGGGCGAAGAATAGATTTGGCTGCAGCGTCCTGGTGAGATGAAAGTCCAATTATCTCTGCACACGAATAGGAGAAGCCTTAATTAGGACCGAACCAAATCTACACGAGGGGAATGTGTGCAGCTGCGGTGATGGACACGCCGCCCCGTCTCCTTAGCGACTGTCGGGAAGATGGAGGGAGCAACAACAGAGGGAAAGAAAAGTGGAGAAAGAAGTATACAAAGAAAAGGAGTGTAAAAAGGAGGGGGAAATAGGGGAAGAGAAAGAAAGAGAGAGAGAGGGGTTGGCGGTGAAGGTGTGCCGGCGAGCGAGCGTGTGATTACTGCACTCCACACATTCCCCCATTTCCATCCTCGGCTTTGATCTGCTCCCTGCCAGCAGGGGGCCGCGTACAAAACAAGCTTTTAATGTTCTTTCCGGCTACGGCCTCTATCTCCTCTCTCCAGCACCGGCGCGGGCGCTACAATGCATTGCAAATTGCTCTGTGGCCCTCGCTTTTCTTTTACACACACTTCTAAACTCTGTGTGTGTGTGTGTGTGTGTGTGTGTAGTCCAGGTGAAAGGACTGTGAATGTATTCTCCAAACTAAAGCAGACAGGCGGATTGAGAGAGAGTGAGAGCGTGAGTTGGGGAGTGTAAACAGGGTCACATGCGTCAGAGCATGCAAAACCGGCTTACACACCAAGCATACACTCACGCCACACACATACACACACACACACACACACACACAGATATTTCATGAAGGAAACAAAATGAAATGTGAATTGTGTTTTTAACATACACCACGGTATGTTAAATAATCCACAAGATAATAACACAATTCAGTTTTCAATAACGTTGACCTCACCACTGTGGCTCCTGCGTTCAATTTGAATCACATTGTAGGAGCCCGAGAAATGGCATTCCTCACTATCACCAAGCCTTTTTTTTTTTTTTTTTTGCTTTTGGTAAGGAGTGAATTGCATCATAGCATGCTTTCCATTCAAAGCAGAGGATTAGAGTGAACCTCAGAGCTTACCTGTGGCTCTCAGCTGCTTCTCTAATATCAACCCACCGCCGGTGCCCGCTGCTTCTGAATAACATCAACAAAAAAGCCAGCATCCGCCGTGTTATACACCACACCACGCAGCCAAAATCAACACTGAATCCCCAACCACGATGAGTACAAGCCGAGTTCATGTGCTGCGATTGATGCACGGTGTTTGTATGTGGAATAAGGGCAAATAAAGTGTTGGGATAATAAAGCAACACAGAAGAGTTTCCCGCTCATGTATATTAGAGCGGCCAGAATCAGCTTCACTGCTAAAAAATTGTTTACATTTCCCTGATATTTACATATTCAGGAAAAAAAAAATCTCATTTGCATATTTAACAAGGTATATTTACATTTTAGTAATGTTAATTTATGTTTTACGGCCTTCTTTTGTTCTGTTTATTTATGCCATAAACAGTTAGGCTGAATCCCTAATGCCTTACTATTCACTATATATGCTCTCTACATAGAGCATAGGTCTAACATAATGGTAATGCAGACTCTGTGTTTGTAGTGCACTATGTGTGCAACAGAACGTTTGAGATTTGACTAATGTATGGTCTATAATGCTTCATTACCGTATGCCCTATGTAGTGATCAGAAAGCTATTTAGGCTATGTGGAAGGCTGTGTGTAGAAGGCTTTAAAAATATTCATGTCTCGATTTTAGTAACAAAACATTACAGCAGATAAATAAATAATTACAGATATGGAATATTAAATCTGCTGATTTTGCCGCCATATGATTTAAGAAAGCTATGCAATTTTCACCATTGTTGGTTATGTAGAATGAACACAGTGTGAGCTAATTCTAACATTAACATTCGTTCGTTCGTTCGTTTGTTCATTCATTCATTCATCTTCTGTAAGCACTTTATCCTGGTCAGGGTCATGTTGGATCTGGAGTCTATCCCGGGATCACTGGGTGTGAGGAGGGAATACACCCTGGATGAGACACCAGTCCCAGCATCTCATTAATATTCAAATGCAATTTAAAAATACTAACTATTTAAAGTGAGTTTAATTGCAAGTATTTAATTGCAAGCTTTAAATGCATATAACAGCCATGACATAGAATATTTCAAAATGTCTTGTGATTCAAAATGGTGAGATTCAGACTGGATTTTGTGTTTTGCCATGTATAACTTAAAAAGAGGTTTTATATATGTATATATGTGTATATATATATACACACACACACTCGAGACCATTCGGTTATATGAATATAATCCATGCTGGTGTGGTGTGATCATTTTCATATAACGCACGGTCTGGAGTGAGTTATTCCGCTTGTACGATAGCAATTCATCAATGATTACAATGTTTAATTTGTTAACATACGACATGTCATGCATTGTAACAGCTTTTAGTTAGATTACATGTTGTGGAAACGTCTGCTAGGAACCGGAAAGCTTAAACTCGTCTGTCCTGAAGACTGTCCTGTGCACCGTAACTGTTACTGGCACTGGAGACTCCTTCTATAAATGTTAAATAAACATCACCTTATTAAAAAAAAAAAGGCCACTACATAAACAATTATATGTTTTACTTTGTTAAATGACAGAATTTTTTTTTTTTTTTTTTTACAAAAATATATTTTTTTATTGTTAGACTTTATTAGTCTTAGATTACGTGGAGCGTCCGCCGTACAGGTCCCGTGAATCAGCTGTTACTATAGAAACGATAATGCATTAGAATGAGTGCATTAATATAAACTTGTCGTTCATGTTACAGCAGGAAGCTGTGCTTCCAACAGTCCGAGCCGTGCTTTTATACAAATTAAATATAACACACACATTCTGACTGATCCGATGCAAGAATTCAGCTGTGCTGTGATACAAACAATCCTTAATTCCCTCGGGCAGTGGTGGCTCAGTGGTTAAGGCTCTGGGTTACTGATCAGAAGGTCGGGGGCTCAAGCCCCAGCACTGCCAAGCTGCCACTGTTGGGCCCTTGAGCAAGGCCCTTAACCCTTTCTGCTCCAGGGGTGCTGTATCATGGCTGACCCTGCACTCTGACCCCAGCTTCCTAACAAGCTGGGATATGCAAAAAAAAGAATTTCACTGTGCTGTAATGTGTATGTGACAAATAAAAAAGGCTGCTTCTTCTAATTCAAAATTCCTTAATTGTATGTAAATCAAATGCCGCCATTGCTTTTTTAAGCAAATTAAAACTGGTGTAATCTTGCTGTTCTTATCGGTACAGATGAGAGAGAGAGAGAGAGAGAGAGAGAAAGTGATTGCACATGCTCTCCTGAACTCCTACACTTTCACCTCCCGTTCCCTCTCTCTCTCCCTCTCTCTCTCTCTGTGTCTGCAGCTGAGGCTTTTTTTTTGTTTCAGTGTGACAGCACAATGCCACCTACTACTGCGATGGTGCATTTTAAAGTGGAGAGCTCCATCAATAAATAATGTGCAGAGCGTTTGCTGATCAGCCTCACAGTGATCACCTAACAACAACACCACCAAAAAAAAACCCAGCCTCCTCACGCTCATCCAAATAACACCAGGTCACTGGTGCCGAGCAGCTGCGCTAGGTCACAGGTCACAGGTGCTGTGGTACAGGTGTGTGTGTCTGATTTCAGCGCTGTTCTGTACCACCCACCATGTTGGGAGTTTGTTTTTTTGGCGTGTGTTAAGAATAAGGAGGAGTCTCTCTTCACTGGCCTTATTTTCTTCCAGTTGGGTTGTTTGGATTTTTATTTTATTCTGCAGATTTATTATTCCGTATCATTGTTTCTTTCTGTTGGATGGTAAAAAAAAAAAAAAGTATCCATCACATTATGCATTCTCTCTCTAACGCTGCTGAAGGGACAGTATTGGTTATTTTGCACCCAAGTGCAGGTTGAGATACACACACACACACACACACACAGAGTCTCGACTTTGTTGTGCATTGTTATTGCAGAAGTTTTGCCATGGGTAGTGTGTGACATTAGGCATTAAGGTGTACATGTGCGAGTGTGTATACATGGAGGTGGACACAAACAAATCTGATTGTGTGTACAGTATGTGCACGGCATTACAAGCTTTTCACTTTTGCATTTCTTTTTGGATTTTTGGCATGATTGTGCTCTGACTCTGTAACGTTTTCCTACACAATCCATCACATTATCATGAACATTCAAATTGGTAGCTTAGTGGATGTTTTGTAGCATGTGGTTGTTGCCGGCGGACACATGCACATTTTCAACACGATGTGTGGAGTTCAGATTGAAGATCATGGCACAGAAAAGAAGCCAAGGTGAAAACTAGAGACAAGCAGAAACACTGGAAAAATAACAAGAAAATCTAAAAGAGTTGAAGAGCAAGGTAAATTATAGGCATGAAGCACAATGACAGTCCTGCTGCTAAGTCTGAATTTATTCCTTATTCCCCATATATCGCACTGTATTATTACCCAGAATGCACTGTGAATTCAGTGTAAAACCAAATTACACTACTTCTACATAATTACCACAATGAACAGCAATTTCCTTCAGTTCAAAATTTATTTGTCAGGATAGATAGCAAAGTGGCTAAGTGTCATCTATAAATGGAAATACAAAATGTTGAATTCTCAAATCTGATTGGTCAGAAGGTGTGTGTAACTTATTTTTGTCTAACAGTTAACTCATTCTAATGTGTTATCGTTTCTATAGTAACAGCTCGTACACAGCAACTCATACAGCGGATGATCCACATAATCTAAGACTGATAAACAGATTTAAAAACAAAACGTATTAACAATGAAAAACCTCTAATCATTGATGAAGTGAAGTTTTTTTGTAAGGAGATGTTTGTTTAACATTTATGGAAGGAGTTTAAGGTGTCAGTGCTTTGTAACAGCCATGTTGCTTTGTAAAGTTTCCCAGAACAAGAAAGTGTTTACCCTTTCTGGTTTCTTAGTAACATGACAAGCTGGATTTTTTGAGACAGAGAGAGAGAGAGAAAGAAAAAAGGTGATGCCAGTGTGGGAGTGATCGTTGCTGTAACGTAGGTGAAAACAGGAGCTAACTTGTCTCTCGGACATTCGACAATATTAAAACCTTTAAAATGTACAACATGTCATTCATTAATAAATGAAACATTGTATTTGTTGGAAAAGCACCGTGGTATAAGTGGAATAACACACTCTGGACCCACACTATCAGATTTATTTATGTCTGCTGTGTGTTATTCCTTTTCTAACACTAAAGCCAACAGGTACTTGCCATTTGTGTATTTACTACAGAGATTTTTCATTTTTAACACTTCTGTATTTATGTGGATTTAGGTTGCTCGGTAATTCGTAACGTCCTGATTGTTTGTATAACAGCGGGTCATGCCGATGTGTTTCTGGACTGCTCGTCAGTGTTTTCTGATCAGTCCGTTATTGCTGTCCCCTTACATAGTGCTATAGAGAACAGCCTATATTCTAAATAGTGACGGAGAAATGCAGCTATAAATGTGCAAACTAATAACATTAAAACAAGACACAGGTAAATGAATGAAGAAACGAACCAATCACAAGATGAGGATGGGAAAATGGAATCATGACGAGGGGAAGATCATGATGTATTTGTTGATTGCTTGCTTTACACAGACACATGATACTAACTTTTTTCTTTTAAAAAAAACTGCTTTTTTTTTGGCTTACACAAAATGATAGAAAATAAATATATATGACCAGTAACTCAAAGAAGGTGTTGATGCATTATGCAACTTAGCTGCTGAATATTCAAGGATAAAAATGTCTAAAATGTCTAACTATATATTCTTTAACTGAATACCCGGCTCATGCACTTGTTTGAAAACAAGTTATTTTATTTTGTATCAAGGCCGTCAAACCAACTGCAAAAATCCTGAATAGCCGAGGCATCACAGAACATCATCACAATGCTGGACACATTGATAACTATATACCAGATAGTTCAGAAATAAATTCAGCAAAATAACATCTAAAACCACAAATCTGCTGTTAGAGTGACTGACTTTGGGACATTTTAATCTGTTACTCTGTTATAACTGTGATTTGGTTAACTGTGCTATAAAGTAGCTGTGCTTGTAGCCTCTTGTACGTGCTGCTTGAGCCTACTGAGCTACAGCAAGCCTGGCGTGCGTGTGTGTGTCTCTGGAGAGGCCGTGGTGGCTGCACGCTGTCTGCTCTGTGATTTCCCCTCTATGCGTAGCTCTTCCCCATGGGACGAGGCCACCACTTAATGGCCGTGGTATTTAGACACAGATAATGGCCGGGTGTTAAAGAACTGGCACGCTCACACTCGTCTCACTCCGGAGTCTCCGAGGACTCGCGCTCGGCCCGTCTGTCTTCTTCTCTCCTCCGCTGAGCCTCCATCCTGCACTCCATTAAACTTTCCATTAAGCTTGCTCTGAAGCTTCCACCGCTATCAGTAGCTCCAAACCCGGACCCTGCTGGAAATACACTCTGTGTTATAACCTGCACGAGAGCCGATAGCCAACTGCAGCCTTCAACCATCACAGCTAATGAGTGGGTGTGTTACATTTTACACCACAGCTGGATTCTGATTGGTCAGAAAGTGTTGATTATTTTCTATAACAGCTCTGACAGTAGTGCAGCTACAAATCACATCATATTAATGCACTCGTTCTAATACATTTCTGTAGTAACAGCTTATTCATATACAGAGACTTGTTAAAAAAATGTGTGTAACCATTGATGTGGTGAAGTTTTCTATAAGGAGATGTTTATTTAACATTTATGGAAGGAGCCTCCAGTGTTAGAGCTTTGTAACAGTCAGAAGTAAAGAAGTAACTTGAAGTTTTCCAACATCTTTAGGACAGAGGAGTTTATGCTTTGTGGTTTCTTGCTAACATGACAAGCTGCTTTTTTTTGTCTTATTAACTTTGAGAGAAGCTTTCTGAGCATTCAGAGGCTTTCTGAAGGTTTATGTTGTGTTTCATCAACAGATATCTTGCTTAAATTAACATTTTTCTGCACTTTTGCCAATGCACACTCCACCTTCAACTTTAAAGTCAGTGCACAATGAAATTTGCACTGTTGTTTCCTCAGATAGCATGGGCTTCATATCTAATTAAACCATATAAGTCCAATGTACATAACAATTTAAGCTTGAATAGATTACTGTTAAATGTAGGTATATTGTACTAATATGAAGACATAGTTGAATGTGTGAGTAACTTTAAGTTAAATGGATTAAAAGTATTAGGTTTATAATAATAATAATAATAATAATAATAAATGCAGAGTCAGGCAAAGCCAATTTTCTTGTGTTTGCAGGTGTGTGATTTCAAAGGGGTGTTTGTGAGCAGTGAAGAAGAAGAAGAAGAAGAAGTTTTATTTGTATAGCGCCTTTCCACAAGCTCAAGGACGCTTAACAGATTTACATCAATACAATACAATTAATACAATACAATACAATACATCAATACAGTACAATTAAACATCCGATTCACTGAAAATACATTTCAAATAAATATGTTTTAAGCTGAGATTTGAAAGGATCACAACACAACACAACACAAAAGGATCAGCCACCAGTAGTAGACATTCGGAATCTAGGAACTGACAGTGGAAGTTGTTTGACATTTTTCACTTGGAGGGGCTTTACGGTCATTTTGCTACCTTTCTTCACTCAACTTTACGATGGTTTACTGAATTTGGTGATTGTTGTAAAGTTAACAAACTCAGACATGGATGTCAACAATTCTTCCGCTATAGTTGATGGAATGAAATATTTTAGTGTGTCATATTAATGGGAAAGTTCACCTGAAGAGCAGATAGATTTGATGTGATTTGTTGTGATTCTGAGATATTGACTGTAGCAAAGGTAATGCATAAACACTGAATTAAGTGCATTTGTGACTTGTAGATGTCACGGATTGTAGCTAAATCACAGTCACAGTTTGTAGCTAAATCATTAAAATATGGCAACTAAGTAGAAACGAAAACTGACTATAAGTGGAGAATCTAAGTG